AATGTAGCAGTTCCCTGTTGCAGTTCAGGCACAGTTATGAGCATGACATTGATGAATCAGCCCATTTACAATTACAATTTTGTGCATAAAAACTTGAAATGTTAATGTCCCCCCCCCCATTGAGAATGGCATAAAGACACTTCAGTCATTAGCACCACCCCCGGGGAGTTATGTAAGTTAAGTTTTAGTGAGCGTTATGCAGCACTTGCAACACAATTAGGTCATGTTAGTGCCGAAGGTCAGAGGCGTTTTAATGCTTAAGTAACAAATACAAAAAAAGAAGGAGGAGAGATCATGATCACAGAAGGAAAGAAGGATGAGAGATAATGATCACAGAAGGAAAGAAGGATGAGAGATAATGATCACAGAAGGAAAGAAGGAGCCAACCACACCAGAGCACCCGCCAACCACCCACATGGACAGTGACACACAAACAAAAAAAATTAAACCACACTCAAACGCACCCACGCATACAAGGTGCCCATAAAAACACTCCAAACATAAGAAGACATACGTGTACAAGTACGGTAAGACAACTAGACACAGGCACAAAGACAGCGAACTGTGAGAAAAACGTTGCAACATACACATGTGCTGAGCTCTGCCCTCAGGGGCTCCATCTGTGGGTAATGCTGCTGCTGTAGCTGTGGAGGGCAATGAGACAAACAGTAAGTCTTCAGTATAACACCCCCCCCCCCCAGTAGTTTCGAGAAAAAAAGGCCTTTTTGTCAGTGCAACCAAATAAAGAAAAGACATTCTTCCGAAATTTGAAATCCAATTTATTAAAAAAAACGAGTCAGTTTCACTTTGAGTTTCACACAAGTAGGCGATAACTGATCAGGCTACCGATTTGGCAAAATGAAAAATTTGGCGCCAAAAGTGAAAAAGTCAGCTTAGGCCGCCCTCCCAACCACCCTGCCTTGAACAAAAATTATGCTCGAGTTTGCTTTTCCACTCGGAGAAGGCAACCTATCGGAAGATCTGTCATTCAGTCAGCTGGCAAGCTGTGTCAGGATATACAGTCCTGGACTAAATGTGAGGTGGGCCGACAAAGTGAGTTACTGGGCTGTTGTTTTTTACTTCTCGCAATCCACAATAGGAGATATTGGCCAAAAATCAACTTTAGGGTCAAATTTTTAGATTTTCCATTGACGCCATGTTCTTTAAGTACAACACGCCTTTTATCATTTCACTTTACAAATTGCAAACACTGCTCCTACAAGCGTGAGGTATCTATTTCCAACGGGCTCGAATCCGAGAAGCAACTCATTTTGTCAGCACATTTCACAAATGACCAAAACATTGTCTATGGGGATGGGATGTCAAACACCAACAACACAACATCAACCGCCCCAAAACTAGTAGCTGCAGAGTAAATGTGAACTGCATGATGCGCCAAACGGGCATAAGTTCTATTCCCGATGAGGAGGACATTTTTTTTACACACCATCTTTACCTTTTTGATAACCCTAATAAAGTGGGTCAAAGCAGCCCACCTCCTTAATTAACAAAATTGCATAAATAAAACATTCACAATCATTCTCTAAAAAAGAAGAATCATGCAGTGCGCAGTCGATGGGAACAAGCCAAATTCAAATTTTGTTTGAGTAAAGAGAAGCGCATCGACACAATAATGGTCATGTAGTGCTGGGAAAAAGTAAGAAAGACAGACAGAAACAACAGACGGGAAAGTAAAGAAGTACGACCAACCAGTGGCGCCCGACAACCACCCACAAATTCTAACTAAAATCGCGCAAATGGTAGTAACTATGCTGGGCAACAAAAGGAGAGCTAGAATATCTCTAGTGTTTCAGAATATTCCATTCTCCCCTCTCCCAAAGGTAAATTTTATATGGGGAAAAAAAAAATTAATTAAAATCCAGGGAAAAAAAACAACAATCCAACAATATAGCCTCTCAAATCCCTCCCCCCATCCATGAAAGTTTCTGCTGGGTGTGGTAAAAGTAGGAAACATGTTCGGGCCAGCAAAGATAGCACTTATCACCTCTCCCTAGGGTAGGACTGTGAGGTGCAAACTGGAAATTTAAAAAAACAAAAAACCTTTAACTTTTCAGATCCTGTGGAAATGAGATGCAGGGACCCAAAATTTACACATCATGTTGCTTTATACATCATTTTTTTTATCAAGGCAAGGAGGAATGGGGCGTTCCTCGATTCTTGGACATGGGGAGTTATTGATGTCATCTTGAAGCTTGTTCATTCCTCTTTCTTTTGATGAAAAATTACACATCTATCTTAACTGGAAGTTAAGGTATTTGCAACTGAAGGAGGTAGGGGGGTCACCTGGGTTTCAAAGCGAAAGTTAGCTAGAAAATGGCCGTCAATGTTTGGTGACTTACACAGCCTGAGAATCCTTCGAAACTGAAAATGTACCTTTTTGTGCCTTTATTCAACATCTTTCAGTAAAATCCACAGGTTTTATTTTTTAAATGGACATAAAAGGTGTTGAGCCAAGAAACAAAAATTGTATAAAAATTGCCAAAAGCGATAGAAAAAAATGCTGATGTCCTTAATATCATTATTTTGACAAGCACCTGATTTCACCATGATGCTTCACATATTAGCAATGCCAATCGGGCTTTCCCGCGAGGCGAAAGTTTGGTCCCCGTTTACGGGCGATTTTGCGGACCCGGCCGAAGCGTAGGTGACTAATTTTGTCAACCTCGGTCTGCTCTATTTCCGAACCAATCCGAATGAAACTCGGCAACCAATCAGAAAATAGGGCAAACTAATGATATGTGGACGTTGAAGTTCGTACACATAAATTAACCTATACTTTTGGTGTCGGGAACACTTTCGTATCGTGTACACCGAAAACTATAAGGAGTTTGAATTTCAACGCCCAGATGGTAATAGATCTTTCTATCCTCTATAGTGTGCTCAAATTTGAGAGTTCTGTGTCAAGTAGTTGTTTAGACCCGATAGTAAATCTACGACTACCCCCCTATCCAAAGCGGCTTCGCACGGAGACCGGCCATTTTCCCCTCACTCTCGTGGCAAATGTAAGTGACCTACAAATCCCCACATGATTATTCCGGACCCGTTCATTGGTCACTTGAAATAGGGCAATGGCGGGCGCGCGCATCCGGTTGTTTTTCTCTCTATTCCCCTGTAACATCGCAATGGGGGTATTCCGAGGCGAGGTTATCTCGTCTCGGGGTGTTCGCGTCTCAACGGGGAAAAAGAATTTTTAATTGTACGGCATGCTAGATTGAATTAACTTATCTTTTACGGTTGGCATGGTCTAAAGTCATCATAAAAAGCTTTGCAATTATTTAGTCACGCTGCCGACATATATTCTTAAAGATCCCATGTTGTGATACGATGCTATAAATAAAATGGACTCATCCCGACACCCCTTTTTCGCAAAATCGTAATATGTACACAACAATTTTAATTATAACAAAATAACTACGAAATTGGTAGTAAATCTGACTGCAGAAATGATTTCTACACTCAAAAACACATCGGGTAGCCAAGTTTCTCTCGAACACTCGGATTAGTTACCGAGATATCGTCGATTTTCTTACAGAATCTACTACTGCGTGGTCCACTTTTTAGGAGTATTTTCCTATATGTGGGTCATCCATATTTTGCCGACCTTTACAACCCCATAACTTTTTTATTTATGAGCCGATTCTCAAAATTCAAGAAGCGTGATTATTAGAATTGAAAATTCTTTCTTAGGTACCAAAAAATAAGGGGCAAAAGTGAAAATTTAAATTTTCATTGGCATTGCTACACATATATGTAGAGCAATATCGCATTTCATGCTGAACAGCTTACCTCCATTTTGTATTTTTCTGACAAATCTCGTTTCACCTTCAAGTCACCACTCTTGGATTTGGCAGCCTTCTGTAACAAATGAAAACAAGGCAAAAAGAGGAGATTTTTGTTTGGACAAAGAGAAAAGCATGACACAGAAATGTTATTAAGCGCCAGGGAAAAAAACAAGGCAAACAGACAGACGGATAGAAGCAACTGGAAGGAAGAAAAAAAAAGTAGGACCTACTAGTGATCACATACACCACCCCCATCCCCCCCCCCCTCTTTCCCTCTCCCATCCAGCTGCTACAAGAGGTGAGTAGGGTGAGAACACAAGCACCAGTACAAGTAAATAACAGCATGTGTGGGTACCTCACTGAGATAGAGGTGTGAGTCTGTCTTAGAATTAAGAGATACCAGACATGCCCACGCCTTGGGCTACATAATGGGTGGTTGGCTAAAAAGAAACACATCTTATTATTATTATCTTTACTACTACCATTATCATCATAATTCAGACAATTACATTATAACTGGCAACATTATTGCCATCCCATTATTTTGCTTATTTCATCATTTTTATCACCCTGTTACAAATGAAGACTATAGGGGAACAACGACTGAAGTCACAAACTGAAAATCGCGAGGGTACCAATTTTGAACGCCTTAAACTGTTGGTTAATTATTTTTGTTAGATTTCCCATTCAAAAACACTTAACAATAAACCACCAGTCAAACAAATATGAAATTTCACAATTTTCAGTTTGTGACTGCAGTCGTTTTCCCCCTGTGCTCTTCAAATATTTATTATCACACATTTGATTAACATTTTTATTATAATTTTTCCGCGAGCAGTCTGCTCATGATGTGACCAGGCTCACCTGTCCCAGGCCAGTTACGAGAAAGTCTTCCTCGTCCATTTCCTCATCCATCTTCTGCTGCAACTTCTCGATCTCCCTGGCTTCCATGAGCCACTCATCTTCCTCCTCGTTCTCTGCAAAAACAAAACAACACATCAGTGTTCTGAAGGGCGCCGAGTTCAATTGCCAAGTTAATTAATGACTGAAGGAGACAATGGTACCTTCATGTACATCAAAGTCTATCTGTCACACATGCACATACAATCTCTCTTTTTGTCTCTCAATTTACACCAATGCTCAGATAGCACTGTCAGACAGTCTCATACATATTAAAATAGTTTATAAAACATATTAGAGCAGCAGGAAAATCATCTCAAAGCATACATTAGACCTGCATGTGAGCCTCATTGCCAGATTGTCTGAAAATTTTGCGCAACCCCCCAAGAGCTTTTGTGGGTGTCATAAGGAAGGACTTCCGAGTAACGAGCGACCACCCCAACAAACACAACAAAGAAGAGACCTAACCCTACCCCTACCCCAAAAAAGAACCTGCAACGAGCCTCATGTGAAAAGGCCAGCAAAAGTCCAAAATGAAAAAAAAAATGTTAATTAAAAAACCACACTCCAAAACAAACAAGGCTTACAAGAAGCATAATATAATGGCCAACATCTACATATTGCTAGATCTATAATAATAGGGTTTGATACAATAACACAATAGAATTGGAATATGAATCCTCCATATAGATCTAGTAAACTAAATAAATCTAGATCTAGTCTAGATCTAGATCTTGTAGAACAAGTGAATAGGATCTAGAATCTAGGAATAGGCCTTGAACTAGAAATCTGCATCCGATTCCGAACAGAGGGGCTCAGCTGAGTCTAGATTCTAAATAAATAAATAATTCACGCACCTGATGATATGCTTTTTACCAACATTAATATTACAGCACAACCTATGATAGGGTTTGACAAAATAGAATTGGAATATGAATCCTCCATTGAGGACTATAATGATCTGTATAAATCTAGATCTAGATTCTATTATCTAAGTGAGTCGGACTGGAATGAATCCACATGATCTGAACAATTGAATTTGTCAACAAAACGAAATTCAAAATGGCCGCTCGATCACGAAACTGAATGTAGATCATTTAGGTCGTCGTCCTTTTTCGTATTCGCATTTCTACTCAGGTTCCGACAATTATGTCGGAAACGCCGACGTCGGCACAAAGACAAAAGTGCCGACAAAGCCGACGGGAAAAAAGGGGGGCGCTGGCAGTCGGCCAGGCCTCGCACTACGCACATTGACTGATACAGGTGGGCCTAGCGATAGCATCGGCCGCCTCGCGGGTCATGTCGCGATTGACGGATTTCAGACGATTGTCGGCAAACATGCAGGTCTAATACATGTGGCACATTAACATTTCATCAGGAGTCCCTCAACAGCAATATCGGTCTGTAGAAAGAAGCCAAACTTTCAACATTTTCTTACCAGCTTCTTTAGGTTTCCTCCGTACTCCAGATCCATAGAAATCTGCTCGCTTCTGACCCCAAGACTTCTCAGGAGCATCTGAAAAAAGATTCAACTTAAAACTTGTTTGACAGGGAAACATGTCAGATTTAGACTACAGTAATTTACAGCCGAACTTGTCTGTGACGGCTACCCTTTGTCGAGGAGAAAAGCGGTTGCCTTAGGCAAGTGGCTGTCTTACACAGTGGCATTATAATGTTTATTAAAAAATAATAGGAGGTATATGGGAATGGCTATTTGTAAAGGTAACCGTCCTGTACAGGTGGTCATTTGAGCAAGTTCAAATCAACTGTATCTCAAAGTCAGTATGATCTAGACATGACAAGTCCACTAAAAATCAGGAGATAATTCGCTTGACCTAGAGAAAAATTAAAAATTGGTTTCTGTGCCAGGCCATGGGCTTGCTTCAGGACAACTTTGTGCACAGACCTCAAAGGGGGACATTCAAATTGCCTTTCAAAAAATTCTGATCCCATTCTCATACTCAAGGGACTTCAGAAAGGCCATCCTCAACAGCAATTCATGCTTTGTGAGCCATAAGCTGTGGAGTTTGACTAACTACATTACTTTCTGGCCCCCGGTAAACATGTGTCTCGACGCAGTGGAATCAGGCGCTCGTCAATTTTTGGGTTTACGGAGTTATTGGCATAATCTCAAAGCTTATTCATTTGTCTTTCTTTCGATGAAGAAAAATAGCAATCTATCCTGAATATCACAATAGAAGTCGAGATATTTGCGATTCAAGGAGGTGGGGGTCGCCTTGTTTCAGAGGTAAAGTAAGAGAGAAAAAGGCTGCCAAAGTTTAGTGACTTTCAAAGCTTGAGAGTTCTTAGAAATTACAAATGTCCTTTTTTTGAGCCTGTTATCAACGAGTTCCAGTAAAATGTGCACATGAATATGCTTTTATATGGACATAAATAGTGCTGAGCGAAAAAATGTTAACAATTGGTAAAAATTGCCAAACGGGTGGAGAAATGCCAATTTCTTTGAATTTATTATTTTGACAAGCGCCTGATTTCACCAAGATGACTCACATAATATGTAATCAAATGATGGACTGAGTCCTCAAACTGCCAGGCACCAACATATACAGCGAGAAAATTAGACAAGCCAAAGATATTACTATCATTTTTTGGGGTGTTATTATGAGTCAGTAAAGTTCAATCTTTGATTGGGGCTTGCGCATAAGTGTGTCAGGGGTAGGGATAGTGTCATCTTTGAAACATAAAATTTAATTGGTTATCAATGTATGTGTATAAGTAGATTATACCCCCTTCGAAAATTCAGGCAGCGGCAAGCCCCGCATAACAGCAACTACTGCAGACAGTATTACGTCATCATACCAAAGTCAAGCTATACGTTCTCATTTGACCATATGCAGTTGTGAGTGCCATAAGACTTTTACCCCCCCCAAAAAGTTATCGATCATCATCACCATGATTCTGAGAGCACTGGCGGCACAGATTACAATAAATGTTGACCAACCTGACAGGTTCTTCTTCTTGTCGAGTCGAGCTTGAAACTTGACCTGTTTGAGACGTTTGGACCACTCATTGATCTCCTCATCACTGTCGTCCTCGTCGCTGGCCAAAGCAAAGAGCTCCTCCTGGTGGACAGACACAGAGGAAAAGCTCACGTGGTCATATCCTAGTCAATGCAGTACACACTCAACATAAAGGCATTTGCCAAAAATTTAGCATTTTATCAGAAAACATCTTCGTACATACTTGTAATATGACATCACTGGCTGGCAGAAAAGTTGTAATTCCAAGGCCACAATCCCAGACCGAAGGGCTAGAACCCAAAAGGCCGTTGGATCGGAAAAGTAAAGTGAAGTAAGGCCACAATCTCACCACCCACACTAATAGCACACTACCTCACCAGACAGCAGGAGAATGATCCGTCAGATAACCAATTTGTATATGAGACAACACCGGTAGACCACAGCTCTCTCTGCCAAATATTGTGACAGTGAACACATGCCTCACTAGCATTCTATTGCTTTTTCTTCTCTAGGGTGATCATGAAGGCATGTTGTGTCATCATTGTTCGTTGAATTAATAGCACTGCCTCACCTGCACAACAGTTCTCAGAATTACACCCCACAAAATAAGTCTTGCGGAGCAAATATCAATAGCCTTAAATTGTACTAAATATATATATATAAATATGTATGCAGATCTGTCACTCTATGAAATCTAAAAATCAGGATCTAAGGGGGACAAAAGCAGGATCAACCACAAATCAGTCAGAGGGGGTGGGGCGGTACCTTTTGTGAGGTACTTCAGTCTGCGTTAATTTATTTCTATTTTTTCCTTCACCACATAATATAGGTCTTTATTTGAAAAAAGAAAAGTATTGGTTTGGGCCACTGGACCAGCCAGATAATCAACTGTCGGAACCATGTCTGGGTTTAGCATTCATAAAGACATAAAAGCTTGCAAAACTATGCTTATTGCAGAAATAAGTTCATATTTGGGCCTGACAAAGTGGAGGAAAAAACTGAAAGAGAGCATGTTCTAGAGTCAGAGTTGGAAAGACTGGGGAAGTGTAGGTTGCAGTGATGCTGACTGAAACTCCTGTAGTCTTGAGCACAGAAATCATCACTTGCCCATGCCTGCTGTAGTATGATCCTCTCTACTGTGTCACTGTAATGTAAAACTGTAATGTCAAGATTCAGACAACGATCAGACAACTCACCTCTTCATCACTGTCCTTCAGTACTGCACCCAGCTCAATCTAGAGGGAAAGAAGAAGTTGTCAACAATGAATGAAGTACATTACGGGGGGGGGGGGGGGGGGGGGGGGAGAGGACAGAAACAATAGCATTGCATGAGACTTAACCATAAGGCTGAAATGTTCTACCATCTAGCACAGACCATGGAACACAAGACAGATACAGATGCTGCAAATACAGTGAACTATCTTCTGCAGGGGACAAATCCTAGAAGAATGACAGACACACTCTGTTATAAAACTCTTCCCCATGTGGGTATAGAACTCACATCTGTTGCATGCAAAGCACAGATAGAGCCAAACTGCTGCCTCACAAACAAAACCAAAAAAAAAAGTAATAAAAGAACTTTTTGGAATACCTTTACAAAATTCTGCTAGCAAAAATTACTATACGAAGCCCAAGGAGTCAGACTTCCAAAGAGAAATAAATGTTGAAGTGCTAGACAAAAGGTTCCATATATCAGCTGGGTTTTTTTTTTAATAGGGTAAAAGCAGTTCCATATAAAAGGTTTTTCAATTCCAAGTCAGCTGGGTTATTTTTTAAAATTTTCGGATACTTTTTTTTTCAAGTCCGAGTTTTGTTTTAGTTGTAGTAGAGGTTTTACGGCGCTCGCAACTGCATAAGGTCATATGAGCGCCAAGGGGTGAATGTCAACAGAGAAGTCCTGACAGGGAATCAGACTTACTCTGCTCACCTCTCTAGCTTCAACAGCACAAAGTCTGCTTCGACTATCAAGGCACCCCGAAAATAGCGGGTCACAAGAGTGTGACAAACATACAAAAGAAGAAGGGGAAAATGACGATAAGTACGGATTAGGAAAGAAAAAGCAGCAGTTCCCCGTTGTAGATCAGGCACAGTTATGAGCGTGACATGAATCAGCCCATTTACAATTCTACTGTGCATTAGAATGAGAAATGTTCCCCTTTTGGGAAAGGCCTAAAGACCCTTCAGTCAGTGGCAGTGCTCCATGGGGTTCGTACAAGTTTTACTGCACTTGCAACAAAATTAGGTCATAATAAAAGTGCTGAAGACAAGAGAGTAACAAACAACAAACAAAAAGGAGGGAAAAGGATGATACCTGTTTGATAGGAAAGAAGGAACAAACCACACCAAGAGCACTAGCCAAACACCCACTGAAGATTTGCACTATATTTTTGAAAATATTGCAGGCTTTGTAACATAATGTACGAAAATAAGTGTTTGAGATGAGAAATACAGCTTTAAAGTGACTTTAATTACATCATTTTTCTCCCCCCCCCCCCCCCAGTTAACTGCCATTCTCCCTTGATTCACTTGTATTATTTGATATTTTGAGTTCAAGTAAAGAGAAGTGCAAATACACTATAATGCTCATCATATAGAACGAGGAAGCAGACAGATACTATAGACAGAAACGATAAAGGGAAAGAAAAGAACCTGGACCTTTCATTATTGTATTTGATACAATAAACATTAGTGTACTTTTTAAAAGTTTTAAAAGGACGTGAAGTCTAGTAGAGCATTATAAAAACCGTAGACAAGCAAAACTGATGTGAATAGAGAAATTGTCAAACTCGATGCTGACCTGAATTTCCTCAGGGTCTACCCTTTACAAGCACATGTAGTGCCACTGGAATGTTAGCAGGAAAATGTATTCATTCACACTACATAGTGTACAGGAGATAATGCTTAATATTTCCATATATTTAAGATGAGTTTATGTAGTAGAAATTAAACCTACTAGATTACGCTAAAATTGGAGACTCAAAAATAATTTTTAATATGTCTATTTTAGCCTCTTCTTTTTCAGACTTTCTCAAGTCACCTCATAAAAAAACACTTTTGTACTACTTACAAATATACATAATTAAATTATTGAGCTTAATCCTTTTGGAACTGGGAATATTCAATATAGAGTAAAACTTTAATTTTCTGCTAGAACAACACTTTTTTTTCTATCAGTGATCATTTTAAAAAAATACCTTTTTATGGCTCTAGCTTGAAATTTGAAATAAACCTTGCTAGCATATCATGGCATATGGGCCCTTTTGTCAGGCACACACTACAGAGAGCATTATATTCACACAAGGAACCAGCACTCAGTTTTCCAACAGGGATTCAAGTACACACTGACACATGAGTGTAGGCACAAGAAACAGAAGGACTTGTAAAAATGACTCTGAAATAATAAAATATAAAAAATGCAACTGCGGGTGTTACCCCATATTTTTTTCATCACTTCTTGTTAGGGCCATCCAGGTCTGATGGGAACGATACCACGTCACATGCAGACAGAACGAGACACTCCATTAAAAAAACCTCCCCACACTGGATTTAAAATTCAAACTAGCGCATGTGGAATGCTTATTAAACAACTGACACCTGTTTGTTTTTTTCTGAAGTAAATGGATTTCTGAATCTGTAGCTTTTTTAAGATTATCAGCATTTCTTGATCTTTTTAAAATGAACTATTTGGCAGCAAATTTTTAAAGACACCAACAGCCCCATGAAAGGCAAAACAAAAACAACAACAAAGTTTCCAGACCCTTTTATTTATCAAAAACAATATACATGTTATATAAATAAAAATAATTCAAATTAACACAATTAAAAGATTATTCTGAGAAAGTCTTTTGGATTTGGAAAGGAAAGACTCTGAAAATAGATGTTCTCTGCTTATAATTTTTTTTTCATCTGTGACCCCCCCAAAAAAAAGATTTTAACCCCACAGCTCGATTATGATTGCTGCCCTTGACTTATCCCCAGTTTTCCCAGATGGCAGCACAAGTGTCTCGCTTCTCTACAGACTCTATTCCACTTACTTTATTTCTGGCTTGAGTAAAGTCATTAATTTCATCAGTGAATATGTCTTCCATGTTACCCTCGTCATTGGAATCAGAGCCGCTGTGGTTCCTAAACAAACATAAATAAATATAGTAAAAGTAAAGGTAAAAGAAAAAAGTTGGCATCAATTTATATGTACATGCAAACTGATTAACCCATAGAATTACTAACTTTTGACTTTGTCCTGAAAAAAGAAGCTGGCCTACTGGTAGGAAAATCTTTCTTTATACTCATTTTCCCTCTGCACGTGGCAATCACGGAAGACAGATCTGTAGATCTAGATGAGTCAAGACTGGCCAGTTCGTCTCTGGTCTCCACCAGTCTATCACTAGTCAAGATGGCAATCGATGCTTTCCCATTATACACCCAGCCCCCATTACTGCCAACTTCACGTTCTTCCCAAAGTGGGTGGTGTGACAGGGTTTGTATAAAAACCATTAAATATTTTTTAAAACTTATCAGTTGTGTAAAATGGATAAAAATAAACAAGTAAAGTGTGTGTGTGTGCACGTGTGTGTGGCAACGGGCCCTTCCACCCGATTCTGGTCCTGAATATATCATGTAAGAAACGATGATTTAAAAAAAAAAAAAAAAAAAAAAGTGTAAAAGTTCAAATACCTGAGCATGAGACAGGAGTCAAAGTAAAATAATACCAAGTAATCTAAAGAACAAGAAATGCTAGAGGCCATGAACAATCTACAATATATTAACTTATAGATTCGGCTCGCCACTTCACGTGGTGCATTAAATGTAGCCAAAACACCGGCAGGCAGCTTCAATAATACAGCTCTCTTTGTCACCTTATAATAAATATTCTGGGCTTTTGTTTAAAAACTACACCGTATATGGAAATCTTCATTCTTAGAGGTAACTTAAGCAAAGAAAAACGCTTTTTTTAAAACACGAAGTGGTGCTAGGAGCAAATTTGACAGTGAATTTGTTGTAACTTTTGCAGGGTGGTTTGTCGACTCGATCAGCGGGTTTTGTTTGGTTTTTTTAAATGGCTGCTGCCACTATTATGGAAGACAGAAAAGGCTTTCAGTAACTTTCAGCAAATGCCGCCATAGATTTGTTTCAAACGTTGTGTAAGGAAAAATCCCAGACTTATTATAGTTTTCAACAGTACCATCGTCAATGTAACTGGGGGACTGGGAAATGGACATCATTTTATTTGATATACTAATACTGTTTCATGCATTCTAAATAGATTACTATCTGCCGTGATGCAAGTCGAAAATACCTTGATTTTTTCTTCTTATACAGTTGAACCTGCCCTGACGGCCACCTTTATAAGACGGCCACCTGTACAAACGGCCACTTTCCATTTCCCCCCTTGCATTTTTTCTATATAAATTAACTGTGTAAAACGGGCACCTGTCCAACGCGGCCGCGGCCACCTTATTTCAACACACAACCCCTATCACACTAAGCCTAAAGCAATAACACCCGTCTAAGACGGCCACCTTAGTGACTCCATTTCGTTTAAGTTTAGTCATAAATTGTGCTTTGGCCCCTGGCGTTGTGGGCAAGTCGGTGGCTTCATCTCAAAATCGGTGGATCGGTAGTTTGACCCTAAAGTCGGTGATCTACCAATTTTGGCGCTTTTCCGGTAGTTCCCACCCCGCATTTGTTATTCGCCGGTTTTGGCCCCAAGCCAAGAGTAGGGGGGTTTCAGGGGGGGCTTGCCCCCCTGACCGAATAAAAACAAGGTGGGGGGTTTCCGGGGGGCATGCCCCCCTGAATTTTACCACAATTTAATGTTTTGCAGTTGTTAGGTTTGACATCTTAGCTTGCCGCGAATCAAACGTATATAGATCTAGATGTAGGTCAGGCTCTATCAAATAAGGGGGGTGGGAACTACCGAAAAAGCGCCCCAATTTTTTCTGTAGGGTTGGCAGGTATGCTTTAGGCCTTCCGTACTGATTTTGATGGCCATTGAGGATAATATTCATAAAATTTAGAGTGGACGCTCTGGAAGTCTTCCCCCGGAATTAAATGCGAGAAAGTAAACAATTTTAGGAGGCTACAATTTACACCGTTCAGTCCGTTCTCGGACCGCTCACCTGTCATTCTGTTTACTAGAAACGTTCCTCTTTCTTTTCGTCTTCATCGTTGATTACAGAAAAATCCACTCGACCGGCCGATCTAGGGATCAAATAATAAAACAATCTTACCACAAGAAAAAACAAAGCATTCACAACCTCATGGACATAACGAGTGGTGCAGTGAAATCAACGCACAACAACATAGATCTAATGACAACATCAACATGAACAACATACCAGATGCGGCGTGGTTACAACTTTCTTTCTAAAACGAAAATTGCCAGGTCGGACTGGAGACGACCAGCTGTGACGTGCGAGTGAACAGGAAGTAAAAATCAGCCACACTAAAATCTCCCTCCCATTAACGAGGCTGACAGATTCCTGTCATAACTATCATGTCCATAGACACGCATCCATGTGTTTTTTTCCTATTTTATGTATTATGCTTGTATATCCATATTACTTGTCCACGTGTGCACTTCATAGGCGGCTTCTGTGGTCGTGGCTGAATTTGACGAAACGCGCAAAAAGGCAAACGTACTGCTTACTTGAATTCCAGATTTTGTTTATTTCTGCCAACAAAAACCATAGATAAAAACTGCAAACAAACTACCGCCATGCAATCTACTTGAACCGGTTCCATTTGTAACATCTAGTTCTATCTCAAAAGAAAAGAGGGGAGGGGGAAGAGCCATAGAAGTTATACAAGTTCAAACTGCTTGTGCAAAGCGAAATATAAAAAAAACCCCAGTAATTTTTCATTCTTATAAAAATACAATATCCTCGATAAAAAACATGACTCATCTTTATAGAATAAGTAACTATTAGACGAAGGAACGAATTGGTAAAGACAGAGGGACTGAAACAGAGATAATAAAATCTGAACATAAAGGGCAGTTCACCCAAGATTAACAGCTAAATTGGATGTAACACACAGCAACCTGGACAACAAGTAATGTTTCGCTTTTCACGCTGCATGATTGATTCCATCAAATTCCGTTCAAGTGGTTCCGTTTCTCATAAATAACCAATTTCTATTTTGGCGTATTTACACCTTTTTTTTTTACTTCTTTGTTTTGTTTTGCTTTTGCGCACCCATCATTCACAGATGGAATGCTTGAACGTTCCAAAAGATATGTTATTGGATTAGACCTATCATGGATAGATTTTAGATTAACAGAAACATCCAAGGTTTTCTGAGTGCAGTGGCAATGGGACCAAAAATAAAAGAAGCAGGAGCGGGGCGGGGGGGGGGGGGGGGGGGGGGGGGGCAGGTAGCGTTTCAACAACTCTGTTCATCAGTGAAATGAACAAGAATCAAAGACAGGGAAAATGCAAGCTAGTTTTAACCATCAATTCCTTTGTAACACTGAAGCTGAAATATTTTTCCTTTGAGGTGTCTTCGCCTGGTTGTGGTAATATACTTTCGATGTGCTTGTTCGTTTCAGTTCTAATTAATTACTATCTTGTATCATTTAAATAGTTGATAAACACTTCTGATAAAAATGATCAACATGCCATCATTGGATTTTTTTATTTGGGGGGGGGGGGCGTATTTTTTAAAACTTATATCTAGATTTTAATTTATTTTCTTATTTTGTTTAATTTCTATTTTTGCAAATACCGTCGTGTTAATAAATCTTGGTCCAACGGGAAAACTGAAGAGCGTCAGTCATTACTATGGTGATGTTTACAAAATGGCGACCGAAATGGAAGAACGCAATGAATCAGGCGCGGATTCTCATCGTACATCCCTCCTCGAAGTTATTGAGGATCGCAACAGGGCCATGAACAAGGTTTGACTGTTTACAAGCTTAAAATTTAGGTTTTTAAAACTATTTTCCCCATGCAAGTGGCTATTCTCCGGCGTCGCGCCGGTCAATAGATCGGAAACTATTCTCCGGCGTTATAACTAGGCCTAGTAAGTCTACCTTTCATTATATTTTATCTATGGTAATTGTCTTTACATAATTTTGTTCATTTATTTCCATCGTCCATTTGCTTATTTCAAAATAATGATTCTGTTTATGTAAACGAGCAAAATTGATTTTGAGTCTAAAATCTTGTCTAGTCGTATAGTATAGCTAGCTGTTTAACTTGTTGTGGTAATTTTCGATCAATTTAACTGATATGTCGCGACTTCAGTGCTTTCTTGTCGCATCTCCATTTTTGTGAACAGTGAAAATGTCACTCCTTTTTATGCTCGCTCTTTGTTATGAACTCGCGTCAATAGTTGTGGACACGTTTCTTCTTGCACCCAACATAATTCTAAATTGGAGGAATTGGGGCAGTTTGTGTCTGAAAACCTATCGTTTGCATCAATGGAAGTGGCACAAAGTTGTAAAGTTGTGGGAATTTTTTTCCAAGACAGATGAGAGATGTATTTGCAAATCTGCGCCAACAAATTATTAGTAATAGACAGGCGGTGTGACGCCGGAGAATAGCTTCTAATCTATTGACCAGCACGACGCCGGAGAATAGCCACTTGCTTTCCCCATTGTTGTTCCATTTCTGTCATTCCTTTGAAATTAAAATGTTTATTATTTTGTTTTTGTTTTTTATTCCAACCTCTTTCGATGGTCTCGTGAGGACACCAGGCCAGAAGTAATAGTATATAGAGTTATACGTTGTGTGTAGATATCAACCCTATGTTTGGGTTTGTTTTGTGAGTTTTTTGTTTGTTGGTTGGTTTTGTTTGTTTTTTATTGGGGGGGGGGGGGGGCAGTCTCGATTGATCTGTCACATTGAAGTCAAGAACTATAAACCAGGCTCTCTGAATGCATTTATGTAAGCTAAATTTCTGTTAAATGGGAACTGTTAGCAACTGATCACAACAATGCCCCTTCTCCAATGGAGTAGACCTTTTGCAGCTGTTCCTGATCGCAAGAAGACCTTTTTAAAAAATAAGGGAATAACTATACGGCCACCCCCTCCCTAGGTCCCCTTTGTTATTTTCTTTATTTTAAGACATTTACACATGATATTTATTCATTACTTCAACACATGAGCCTATAATCGAATAAAAATATGATAAGAAAGCTTTGTAATGACCATGGACAAGTGACCATTCAAATATCCACTTTGGGATATTTTGATCAACCAAATTTTTCAAACCACTGCCACTCTCAAACTTTGCTGCCTATCAAGACCATCTTTGTTGTGAACATGTGATTCATGCCTGTGCATCCCGGGAGCTTGGTTTCCGTTGGGAAAATGAAACAAGACCAGAGTTATTTACTTTATAAGGAAAGTGGCCGCATAGTTCGGTCGGCGGCAAATATTGCCTTTTTACTCTAGTCAAAATAAATTGATTTTATTCAATCCAAAGGAAGACAAATGAACACGCTTAAAGATGATACCAAAATCTCTACATGCCCTAAAATTGACAAGAGCCTGATTCCACCGCGTCCTGACACATATAATTTTTGTGGAAGAACCTTCTGTCTTTTTAGTAAGTTTAGTTTTGATAAGGTTTTACGGCGCTTGCAACTGCGTATTTCTGTCTTTACACATGAAGAGGGTTGACAGACCAGAAACCAACGAGTGTTTCAAGGCACTTTACACTTCATTTTTGTACGATATTGATGTGAAACATTGAAATCTGCAGCTGCGTTCTTTATTAGTTTCATAATGGCTGTATGGAAAACGTAGTTAGTGCTAGAGCCTTCTGAAACCCACTATAGTCTAAGCTGCATTCTCTCTCTCTCTCTCTCTCTCTCTCTCTCTCTCTCTCTCTCTCTGTCTTTCTCTCTCGCCTCTTTCTCTCTCTCCTCTTTCTCTCTCTCCTCTTTCTCTCTCTCTTTCTCTCTCTCTCGCTGTCTCTCCCTGCAGTATTTTCAACACAGATTGGTTCTTTTTATGAGCCATAACAGAACAGGGCCTGTCATTGGTGTCATCATCATTTGTAACCAATGTCTCAATTCTGAAGTATTTTGATATAATACATAGGACAGCAAAGACTTCAGAACACAGAAGGACAGGAAGCCAATGAACATTAAATTAACCCTTTGAGCCCTGACCTCCTGATGCTACGCCGTGCCTCTGCCTGAGCTCCTAGGTGACATATTACTAACATTCATTTGGTCGTCAGAAAATCTCGTTCCTTATCCCACTCATGGTAGTCCTCGTCATTACAAGCATCTACCTCAGAAAGATCTTCAAAACAAGCAGTAATGACCTGCGTATAGTAAACACGGTTTCCTGTGCGCATTTTGTCCCTGACGGGCTGGTTTGGGGATTGGGTCTCGCTCATAACTTGGACTTTACGTATGGTCTCGCTTTACTTTCACATAGTCATCAACAGATGAACAGGTCAAGGAGAAAACGAGGGATCTTGTAAATATCTCGACAGATATCTATGACAAGCCTTAAAGTGTATATATATATA